ACTTCTAATATTTGGGTCTCTTTGGTATCTACTTTTTGCTCTGCCTTCTACTATATTTATAACCAGTTACTAATATCATATCCACTCTACTTTCCTTACTGGACCCTGGCTGATACTGTACCTGATACTAGGAGTGGTCCTAGGAAACAGACTCTCAGAAGGATTCTAGGATTGATTTGCTTTGAACTAGGAACTGAACTCTTTGCCAATGAAAAGTGGCATAATATACCTAGATTTTTGGACTTAATGCTATAGTAGATTGTTATAGTAATAGCCCCCAGGGAATCATGCCACTTCGTATATCATGCCTCATGTAAAGCACCTTTCCATATTGATTCTTGGCATGTCTCTCTGACTTGCTTTGGCCAATGAGACATTAGCAAATGTGATGCAAACAGAAATCTGAAAGGCATTTGCACACTAGGGCTTGCCCTCTTTTGTGCTGTTTTTGGACCAGATTCCATGTTGCAGAAGCATGGACTAACCTGCTGGAGACACATGGCCCAACCAACAGCCAGCACCAACTCACTCCAAGAAGTGTGAATTAGCCCATCTAAGACCAGCATCCTCCAGCCAATCTATCAGCTAACTGCAAATGCATAAGTGAGCCCAGCCAATACCATGTAAAGTAAAAAACGAGTTGCCCCAGGTGAGCCCAGTCCAAATTGTTAACCCATAAAATCATAAAAACATAAATGATAAACATAAGCCACTAAGTTTTGTTATACAGCAAGAACTAGCTGAAACACATGTATTAGCTTGAGCAGCTGAGAGTGGTACTATTGGCTTACTTGGTTGGCTGAAACCTGTGCCCAAGAAGACTCTATATTCAATGATATTCAGTTGACAGAATTCCTCTGGAATAATGTTCAAGAAGAATTCTAAAGGCTTAGAGAGATAGGAATAATGGAGCAATTTATAATGTGTAATCTGTGCATCTTTCCTTACCCTATTGGTTCCTGAAAAGGTTCAAGAAATACTCCCTTCACTAAAGCATTAAGAAATGCATTAGTGAGGGAACCCAACAAACTTAAATACCTGCAGGTGGCTGTCTTCTGTAGGCCAAGGATGATAGTGGGAAATGCTGCCACTGAGATGGGATCCTGATTTCAGTGGGGATGATGAGATCCCAGAGAGGTAATCAGGATTTTTTACTCACAGGAATTTCTGGCAGTGGTTGATCCTAAGAATTAACTATATGGCCAGACTACCAAAACATTATTTAATCTATATAATAGAAATCTGACTTGAGTTCTCACAACTGAGAATTCCCAGACCTTATCCGTTCCCAGTTCTGAAGCTCTTGGTTGAAGAGAAAGATGGGGCCTTTTGAGAAAAGACCCTGTAACAATGTCGCAGATACTTACGGTAGATCTTCCTCCAAGCCATCCCCAAAGGGACTTGAAGTCATTTACTAAGGTGCCTGTGTATTGGGAGAAATGGAAATATCCACTTTTCAGGGGTTCCTAAAACTACTCCAAAATGACACTAGTCCATAGGAACCCTAAATGCTACTGTGGTCCACTGGTCAAAACAGAAGCTTGCAGGAGTCCCACCTTAGCTGCAGTTTCACTTTCCATGGTTTTAGTTGCCACAGTCAACCGTGGTTCGAAAATATTAAATGGAATATTACAGAAATAAACACTTCCTAAGTTTTAAATTGTGAGCCCCTTTGAGTATCGTGATAAAAATCTCATACGGACCTGCTCTGTCCCATCCAGAGGGGGTCCATCCTTTTGTCTACTGTATCCACACTGTATTTGCTCCCTGCCTATTAGTCACTTAATAGCCATCTTGGTTATCAGATTGACTGCCACGTTATTGCATATTTGTGTTTAAGTAACCCTTATTTTACTTAATAAAGGCACCAAAGCATAAGAGTAATGATGCTGGAAATTATGATATGCCAAAGAGAAGCTGTGAAGTACTTCCTTTAAGTTAAAAGGTGAGTAGAGAACAATAAGATATTTTGAAAGAGAGAGATACCACATTCATATCAATTTTATTACAGTATATTTTTACAATTGTTCTATTTTATTATTATTAATCTCTTAGTGTGCATACTTTATAAATTAAAATTTATCATAGGTATGTAGGTATAGGAAAAAATAGTACAGTATATATCAGTACTATCTGTAGTTTCAGGCATCTACTGGGAGTCTTGGAACATATCCCTCACAGATAAGTGGGGACTACTGTATAGTGGTCAAGTGATAAATAGAGTTTAGGCCCAATTCTATCTCAGCATGGATCTATGACTCATGCAGCCAATAAAGATGATGCTTAAGAAGACCAGTTAGCAACATAGGTATGAGCTTCTGATACAATGACAAATTTGAAAAAAGAATAGAAAATTACCTTACAACTAGAGCTGAAATTATGTACATATATGGATGAAGAACAAATGCCGGCAGCAAAAATGCAAATACTTTGGCTCGGATAATATCATAGGTGATTGTTGTTTGGTCTTTTTCAATTCCTCAAGCTCTCTCAAATGCTATTTTTCCTCCCTTTGTAAAAGGCACTCTTTTTTCAAAAGACTTAGAATTCATCTAGCTCTTGTTTTAAAGATCACCATTTGTATACTTTTTAGCCAATCATATTAAGGTCATAAAAAGTAAGAATGTCAGTTGTAGCCATTCTCCTGAATATTATAATGAGTCTCAGAGCCAACCATGCATGAGGTATCTATCATATATAACATGCTGCAGGAATGACAAAATCCCACAATCTCTCTGCCCTCCAGGAGCTTACAGTCTAAGGGGGAAGTACAACATGTACTTAAATTCACATGATTCAAAACTGAGAAAGATAATTGCTTCAGAGAGAAACAAAAAAAGCATTGTTGTGCCCAAAGTAAGAGCTCATATTCAGTTGGAGAAAACAGGAAAATACTCACTGGCAGAACTGAGTAGGATTTTGGTGAGAATTGAGGTCCCAGAAAGGAGGCATTCTGGATAGAGGGGACAGTATAAAGCATACTTGAGACATACATACAATGGGCCCTTTAACTTTGCTGAAGAATGAGGCATGTATAGGAGAGCTTGTACCTGGGACACAAAACCCATGTTGATATACGTTGGCTGGAAATCCCTTGGAGCATAGCTCACTGGTCTCATAAGAGTGGAATTTAGGAGAAATATCTTGCAGCCCTGATAAAGTCTGGGTACTGCCTATTTAGCATGAGTAGTGGCTGGTACATAGGGGAATTACAATGATACTTGATATTTATCAGGTATTTACTGTGTCACACAGAGTAAGAGCTTGATAAAAGAAAGTGCTAAATACCTTTCTTATATAATTCATTTTTTAAGTTAAGGCATCTAATGCTTAGAGATCAACTGATGTATCCAAAGCTGCATAACTCATACACAGTCAAGCTGGAGTTGGAATCTCTGATGACAGAGCTTACACTCCACCCAGTCTCCTATAGTGCCTCTCTGAAAAGTGTAACAGTGAAAGCAATCCATGAACAGCAAAAGACCACGGGGTATATGTAACCTGTAAAGTTTCACCTGGTAGGAAATCAGGGTGCATTATGGGGTATAATAAATATGGTTTTATTGCACTAGCTCCATCCCTTCCAAATTAAACAGGCAGCCTTAACCAAATGTCTTAACCTCTTTGTGTTTCAGTTTCCTTATCTTTATCTTTAAAATAGAGACATAAATAGTACCTTTTCAGATGGTTTTGAGAGAATTCATTCCAATAATATATATGTAAAATGCTAAATAATAGTGAGCATATAGTAAATACTTGATAAATTTTAGATGTTATGGTAGTATGCTGCAGTACAGGACATTTCTCACACTAGGACACACTGCCTTATACTCTTCCCTGAAGAAGCCTGGATTTCAGGATACTGGATCTGGGCATCCCTCTCCCTATTTGGTATTTTAGAAAATCTTAGACCAAAGATGACAGTATTTTGACAGAAGCCATTATGCCATTGGGTTCCAGGTAGAGTTAAAACACCATCACCCAAGGATTTAGAACGTCAATCATGTATCGGGGTATGTGAGGCCCAGTGTGGGTAGACTTGTTTCCTTGGGGAGAAAGCCTTATCTGCCTGCCCTGATCTCTGCAGCATTAGAAGATGCCGCTTCTCTAGCAGGGACCCCAGATGAACACAGAGGACCCAGCAAACAGCCCTGGGATTCTACCCTTCTGAAGAGGGAGTCCAAGTGTATTTGAAAAGGCTTTCAAACATAGCGGGGCCAACCGGCCTGATGGAATATTAAACTTACTGACCTGGATGGGCCCTGGGTGAGCACTTAGCCAGAAGTAGAACATCTGGAACATTTTGAAGAATAAACAATTGAGTTTAATTCTTCAAAGGAATTCTTTGATTTGTACAGGGAATTGAGGAACTGAAGTGTTATATAGTTTGTCTGTTACTCACTTTCATATCCCTTCGGTCTCATTAACTCCAAATTCTTCTTAGTCTGAGCACCAGTTAAAGAGTTTGCTTTAAGCCCACTAACCTAAGACTGTTATACTTGCTAATACATATATTTGGATAGTTCATGGGTCAACTAATGCCCCGAGCTTCATGGCCTCAGCATGGAGACCAAACTTAAATAATTAAAATGATTAAACTGATTAAATTATTTAAATGATTTAAATGATTAAACTGTTGCTGCGTCATTATTGACACACACGTAAGGGGATCCCACAGGGTTTCTATAGTGCCAACAATCAAAGGCCCCGACTAGTGAGTATCACCATATCACATATATGGAAACTGAGCCACCAAAAGGTTAAGTTTAAAGTTATATAGAGGGCCAGAAGAAGAGCCTTAGTTTGGGGCTTTGACCCATTATGGTTATTCATCTGAAATCTTTGCAGACACAGCATATAGCATGCCAAATTATAAGAATGCACATCATTGGTTTTTGAGGTTAAAAAATAAATAAATAAACAGAATTTTTGGAAGAAAAGATGTAGTTAAAAAAAAAACAATAACAAAAAAGCAACAAAACCACCATTCAACACGGTGCCATTATAACTAAAACAAATGCTTTATGATTTAGATCTCACAAAAATACTCAATGGCTTTTCTCCACAACTTGTAGTTGGCCACCCTGTGTCCTCAAATGCTTTCTGTTAATTAAACAACTCAGATGCTCTCAAGTTTCCAAGAAGCCATAAAAACATGTCAATTATGGCTTGAATTTATATAAAGCCTTATCTGTGAGCTGATAGTCTCAGTAGGCTTTTCCAGTGTTCAGAGGAAACTACAGATAAAAATAACTCTATTGGCAATCCGTTTCTGTAATTAGAAATTTCTACTTATCTCTGCTTCTGGAAATTACTTTGAAAACTTAAGGGGAAATGATTCCCTTTTTCAGTCTGGCAGCAAGAAGGAGCCTCAGGACATTCATGGAGTTCAGGACCCAATGCGGTCATTTTCTAAAGTGCAACAGTGCTTGCTCAGAGCCACAGGCTGCAGAAGTGAGAGCCCAGATTGAAGGAGTGGGCTGCCTAACTTCCTCTAAGCACACCATGGCCAGGAGTGCCTAGTCTTGCTGCAGTGTCCAGATTAAAGTGCTGTGTCATACAAAGGCACTTGAAAAGTACAACAAGCTCTGCAGGCCAAGGAATTCTTTTTCAGAGTCCATAAGCTTCTTGAGGATGTCCCACCAGGTTGCCCAAGCTCCATGGATTCAAATCTGTGGAGAAAAGTCCACAAAGAAGAAAAAATCACTTTTCAGATTAGAAAATATATATTTTCTCAAAAATAGATTGGAGTGAGGAACTAAAAATTATTTTATTTTTTAAAAATAGAAAAGCTCATCTATCTGCAGGCAGCATGGTTCAAAACCTTTCTTTCTACTCCCTCTACCATTGCCCTATTCCAAGTCTTCAGCCTCTCTCTCCCGACCTATTGCAAGAGCCTTTTTCTCTCCATTGTTTGGGCTGCAAATAGCTCACTACTTCTGGAGGACAGTTCATGGATTCCCCTATTTAGAACCTTGTATCTTTCGCCATTGTGTCAGATATTCCTGTTTGTTCCTACAGACTCATTTTCCTCACTACCATGCTCATGCCCCTGGAGATGGACATTGTGGAATGTGTCACTGGGCTCTCTTCCTCCTGGCTTCCATTGCATTCTTTCCCTCAGCCTAGGGGAGAAAGAAGATTGCAGTGGGTAGAAGAGTGAGGTTGGAGTATGCATTCCTCAGCAACCTCACAGACAGGTTGCAAGCTGACCTTATCCCTCTGTTAAAGGCCATAGCTCCTTGTGGGCAATTCTCTCCTCTCGCTGTTCTCACCAGGGTTCTGGTAACTGTGCCTTCCGCTTCCCCCTTCAGGCCTAGGGATGGTTAATCATTCCCTGCTCTTGTTAGTTCCAGGATGCTCAACATCCCTCCCTGATCTACCCTAATGATGCTCATCTCTTCGTAAATAGTAAAAACTTGTTAACTTGCCTTGTCACTCCTTCTGAGTATGACCTCTTTTTCCATCTGAGAACTGACTGAGGCATATGTGCCCAGTGACTAAAATCTAATCTCCTTTGCCCGAAATTCATGGCTCACAATACAGCCCCTAACAGTCTTTCCCCTTATCTCACACTTGGGTCTTTACAAACCAGGATCACACTCCTTTTTCTATAGAAGTCTCATGTCCGCCTGCCTGTCTGCCTTACCTCTCCTGTGTTCTCTGGAACTGTCTGCTGTTTCTTTTTCTGCCTGTTTTAAATGTCACCTCCTTCATGAAACCTTTCTTCTTCCCTGATTATCCTAGCCTAAGGTGATTTTCCCCCATCTCTGAACTTTCCTCTATTATTTGTACCTCTTATAAAGCCATAGAACAATATAAAAAATATACAGACTCCTCACACAGTTAAAAATTCATGAGCCCAGGTGAGTTGGGCTATTAATAATTCCTCTTCCTCTTCTCTCCCCATGGATTCTGAGGATAGATCACTAAGGTAGGTTTCAGAATAAAGTAATAATTTGAGAGCTATGTGATTTTCCAAATATGTTCCAAGAAGCACAAAGTATTTTAGAGGCCTTTGCAGGGACTTATGGCAGGGTGTTTATATCCTCCACCTCCTTCTGCCACTGTTTTAATCTCTTTTGTAATAGAAAAATATATTTTTGTCTCTGTCCCTAGTTCCTGGTATGGAGTTCATGAAACCCTTGTAATTTTCTAAGTGATAAGAGCACTACAACATTTTGTTCTAATATTTGGTCTTTGACTCTGTTTCCTGAGAGAGCTCTTAAGTCCTTTGGAATTTCCTGGGTGATAACAGTGCCTTTTCTAATGAGGCAACTTTGGATAGGCTCCTGAATGGGAATTGGTAGCCCACACAGCCTACCTAACACAATCTTGCAAAGAGCAGATATTTAATACGTATTTGAGAGTAAAAGAATAAATAGCACTAGACTGGTAATCATGAGGCCTTTTGTTTTTCTGTCATAATTTCATTCAAGAAAGTCACTTAATATATCTTAGCCTCAAACTCACCATCTTTGGAATGAGGGAGTCATGTTACATGATTTGTAAGCTCTAATGAACCATAGCTTGATGACTAGAATAACTTTTAAAAGAAAGGGATCAGAATCCAGTTATATTGGTTGGTGGCTTGGTTGCCTGCATAAGAACAAGAAGCCATGAGTCACAAGGTTAACTGCAAAAGTGGAAAGGGCAGGTGCCATAGACAAGGACTCAGGTGGGCCGAATTCTGGCTCCAGTCCTACCACTAAGTTATAAGATGACCTTGTGCAAATCACCTCATCTCTTATATCCTTGCAGTATGTATCCATCTTTTCTAGATTGGCTGGGCTAGGAATCTCTGAAAGGCAACGAAGACATTGGTATGTGTTTTTGAAAGGGTATATGGTATTTCCCTCCCTAAAGTTTACTAGGACCCAATGAAGTGTCCTAGTCACTACGGGTTATAGAGAGGTAAGTGGGGAATGGTTAAAAGGGCTTCAGAAAGTTAGTCCTATACATAACAAGCATCCCTATGTTCTTAAAAGTGATACATTGGGATAGTTAAAAATGTATTAAACTACAAGGAAAATTCAGGAAACATAAAAGAAGAAAACAACACAAGTTTCCATAACATAAAGATAATGATTATGGGCATTTTAATGTTTTTGTTTCACTTTTTTGGGGGGGAAGGAGGTGTGGAGGTGTGGTGGATATATTAAAAATACTTTAAAAATAAGACATTAATGATATGATAAGCACAATTTTATATGTTACTTTGTTTTCTTTTTATTATATAGAAAGCATTTTCCCATATTATTATTCCTCAGAAACAGAACTGTAAATGGTAATATATGATCTATTGGTTAGAGGTTCCAGTTTTCCCTTGTTTTATCAGCCATGGTAGGCTAGATTATGCTACAATAACAAACAACCCCAAAATCTCAATTTAATAAAGGAAGGTTTATTCTTGCTCGTGTTTCATGTCCATTGAGGATCAGCAGGGGGCTCTGCTATTTGTAGTTACTCAGAGACCTAGGCTGATGTAGCAATCACTACCCTAATGTTGCTGGTTACCATGCCAGATGGAAAAAGAAAATATGACAGAGAACACAATAGCTCTTACATCTTCTACCCAGAAGTAACATACATCACTTATGCTTTTATTTAGTAGACCGAAGCAAGTCACACCAAACTACCAACTAATTGCAGAGCAATTCTATTATGTACACAAAAGCAAGAGATCCAGGAAATATGTGAAATAACACTAATAACCACCACATCCATGTTGGAAAAGGATGGGAATGAGCTATCCCTATGGCCACATTTTATTTGATCTACTTTATGACATTAAAGTTAAGGCCGTGAAGGCCCACCTGGGGGGATTGAGAAGTCTGGATTTCCTCGATTATAAGAACAGGCAACCCTTTTCCCAGAGTTGCCCAGAAAGTTAGGGGCAGAGCCATGGAGCAGAAAACAGCTCTGAAACTGCTAGGCACTTCCTTTAATAACTGGGTTTTGCTGCAGTCTCTGATCAGTGAAGCAAAACCAGCAAGCCCTTCTTTTTTTAACTGGGAAGGAAGAATATTTATCTGAATAAAAGTCTTGTCAGAAATAAGTGTAATGGGCATAGTCAAGGCAAGTCTCAAAACTCCATTGCTCAAAGTGTTGCTGAATGAAAACATAAGGGCCCAGAATGGCTCCTAGGCAGCCTGGAACTCTACGCCATCCCAACACAGTACCTAGGAGGTGAAGCAGAGCTGTGATGGCAGAGAATGGGTGTAGGAGAATGAGAGCCCTGAGCCCGATGGGCCTAACTACTTCCTAGTGGGGCTCTGTCCTCAGACTTCATGAAGCTGAGGTCGGAGTGGTTGTTGTCATTAGATCATTTAATCCAGGAACAAGTATACCGACTAAGGGAGATGTCACAAAGCCAAGAAGAACCTCTAGGTTAGGAGTCAGAAAACTTTCTCTGTAAAAAGCCAGACTGTAAAAAATTTAGACTTTTTGGGCTATATGGTCTCTGTTACAATTACTCGATTCCGCCATCAGAGGCAGGGGAAGAGGTATGAAAGTTGGGGAGACAATATGGCAAAAAAGAGCATGGCTCTGTTCCAATAAAATTTTGTTTATAAAAACTATTGGCCTCCTAGTCATAGTTTGCCTACCACCTTTTTAGTCATACATTTTGATGGATAGGAGAATGTTAACTTTGGTTGATTCTCATTTGATAGGTACCTAATGAAAGTACAACACTTCCCAAGACTTAATGGGCTTTCAAAAGAAGAAGAAGACACTGAACTTGCTTTCTAGAAATTTATAACTTAGTACTCTGGGAACTGCAAATCCTACTTATATAAGCTTTTCACCCAGCATAAATGTTACAATTAATGCACTTATTTTCTTTTAATAAATATATGGCATATAGGACATTAATGTTTATAACCTGTTCCTGTGAATCCAGTTTTACTAAATCTAATACTTGTTTTCTTGGAATTAAAAAAAAATTGAGTCAATGACAAATCAGAGGAAAACTCATAAAATATATACCAGGCAATGGGTTAATATTAACTGTAAGTAAAGACATAAATAAAAAGATGGACAAAAGATATATATAGGATATTCCCAAAGGAAGATAAAACCTGTAAATACATAAAAAATGTTTTATCCCACTAATAATTTAAAAATGCAAATTAAAAAACCAGTGACTTACGATTTTAAATTTTCAAATTAGCAAAATTTAAAAACAATAATAATATCCAGTATTGGCACAAGTGTGATAAAACTAGCTCTTTCATACATTGCTAGTATAAATAGGTACAATTTTTTAGAAGGCGATTCAGCAACACATTTTGAGAGTCTTAAAAATGCCCATAGTTTTATCCTAGTAATTCTACATCTTGGATTTTATCTTATGGTAATAATCATAGTTGCTCATAAAGATTTGTGTACAAGGCTATTAATTGTGATAATGTTTAGGTAGCCAAAATATAAAATAACTCTATGAGGCAGATACTAAATATCCAACAATAGAGAGTTAGATAAATCCTGGTGCATGTATACAATAAAATATCATAGAACCATTAATTATATTTTTAGTATATAGGTAATGCTAATAGTATAAAATTGTTTTAAAAAAGGTATACATACTATAATTTAATTTTGTAAAAAATTAAATATAAAAAATATTAGGAATTAAATAGCAATATTAAATATTAACCATTATAATCTC